TCCGAATTCTTTGTCATGGACGGTCGTCGTTGGGCGGTTTTATAAGTTATGCGCATGCGCGAGTAACGTCTGGTAATCAGCGAACGTTCTGATTGGCTAAGACAGAAAGTTTGTATTTCAATGAGAACGTCAGCAATTTATATATTAACTGTCATTTCGTAAACATTTTTGTATAAAAAGCGTTTCATAAACTTTGTGCAAAGAAAGTAAAACGAGAAGAAACAAGATATATGAAGCACGACAGTTAGCAAAGATGAACGTGGATACGGTTAAGACAAAGCCGTGTAAGAGGAATAATTCATAATCTGCAAACTTATAAATGTTTTCAAAGACAAAGGGTACGTGTTTACTTCATATTTGTTTTGCGATAAGAATGAGCTGTATTTGTATACCTTTCAGCTTTGTATGCCGTTTATTTGTTAGATTTTCAGCTTTTTATGCAAACGCATAAACCTGTGAAAGGCTATTACACCTTTGCTTTAACTTCAAAAAGTTTTTTTGAAAGTGTAATTTGAATTTTGGTATCAAAAATACACACTATATTTACAAAGTATAAAACTTTTAGCCGCCGGCGTCGACTGCAAAATACAGAATAAAATAACATTTGAAGTCTTTTCTTTGCCTGTGAAGATTTTGTACTGTTTTAATCGTTTGAAAATCGTCCAATTTTAAACCGTTACTTAATTGCTGGCATGGTATAATGCAGCAAAATTGAACGGGCAATGTTTACACTAGCTTTATGATTATTTTTGTATTGAATGATGGAAACATTAGCTATAATATACTCGGTAAAATATAATAAGACTGATTTGAGTTTTGTGTCATTTTATAATATAAGTTTAGGTCAGGTTAACTCAGGAAATTGTGTACTTGGTTTGAAATAGCGAGGGGTTGCTGCATGCATGTATTTCTAGTTGTAGTAATTTGTTTCTTTGTGTTAGCGTTTCTGCGCCAATGTCAATTTTTCAGCTGCTTTCAAGAAGCCTTAGTGAATTTGAGAACAGAACAATCTTAATCTGGGTTATTACGCTTTTCTTATGCTTTCCCAGTTTGGACACGGTAATTTGGACAAAGAAAATGTTGAAAAAAGAAGCGATCAAAATGATGAAGAAAATGTGTTTAAATAAAAATATTTAAGACCAGATGTCTTACAAAGGATTGGCCATAAGATTTTAGTATTATAAGTTGTAGAAAATAATGATCGCGCTTCAAATCTATTACGATTTCATAAATATTCTGTTTTTTGGTAATGTATACTCTGTTAATTGTTGGAATTACTTGATATATATACCCAGCGTGTAATGGAAATCCATAGATTGAAGTTAAAAGGCAATAAAAATAATTTTCATGATTTTTTTAAATTTCATGATAAAAGTAGCTGGAATGAGTTCAGGGGCTTTAATTGAATTCAAGTGCATTTTTATAGCAAACATTGCGAAGATACAAATTCATTTCTTGCTTGCCATAGTGCGTTCGACGGCTATGCCCTGGGGTCCTTTCTGTTTAAATACATTGGAGTACGCAGGGACGGATGCAGCTGCCCCCTGAAATATTTAGGTCTAGAATAATTGGGCAAGTTTTTATTGAATTCTACCAGTGATTAAGTCGCGAAAGATTTGTATTCGCAACTGATTAGTAATATTTTTACTCGGCTAATATATTTCTGAAATCGGTTCCCTTAATAATATATTTCACATTGGCAAACACTGAATGCTATCAATTTGTCTTGTTAATTTTTAGCTTTAACTGCACTGTTACATTATTCAGTTGGGGAGTTATTACATATTACCATTCACTTTGTAGTATTCTCAATTTTGATTGGTTAATTTACCTGCAGTTAACTGCGTGCAAATAATACTTAGCCGCAAATAATACTCTGAGCATGCGCATTAATGTCAATTTTATAAACAATGGCGACTCGCTTTGCCGAACTGTCCGATAAAATGAACTCAAAATTGAAAATTGAGTGGTGAATGAATTGAAAATTGAGTGGTGAATGATAATGCCTTAATCACGATATTTTGCGAGAACCGAGTCCAATAATTGATAATTATTAAGAGGAAATATTTTTTTTATGTCGCGTAATATATGCTCAAAACCTCAGTTATATCTTCATACAACAGCAATAAAATGTTCAGCATTAAAAATGTTTTGCAAACCTGAAAAGCATCCAGAAAGTATTTTTACTGTATAATCTCAATTAAAAAACTGTGAAAATGAAAAGATTTTTTGGGATATGCCAAGAAGAAAATGACACTTGAATCGGAGCTGCTTTTGTATTCATTTCAGTTATAATGGCGTTGACATTAACGTTAACATTGTTGATAGCAGCATTATATTTTGCAATAACTGCTTTGTTTGGTGTTTTCATACACCTTATACAGTTCAAAACTTAGTTCGCAACATAATCTAAAGAATAAAGGTAAAATACATAAATTGATTATGAGCGGTACGCCGAAAAGATTTTAGGTTTTGAGCGTTTTCCCGCCAAAATACGCGACATAATAAAAAATCTCCTCTTAAATACATACAAATCAGTGAATAAAACATGTTGAAAATCCCATGATTTTGACTCCTGCACTGACTAAGCGGAACATTTTTTGTCAAAAGTCGCGAATCCAATATCCGCGAAGATCCATGTGTATTAACACCCAGATGCTACTAAACAACTCTTTCCCGTGTTAAAATTGATCAGTTATATGCCTAAATCTTCTGCTTTAATCCCCGAGCCGGTGCGGAGCACCGTGCGAGGGTACTAATTCCGCCCGGAGATTAGGAATTACACCCGGGACCCGGGAGAACATAGCGGAATCCAAAGTTGCCCAAATGTCCAAATGTCATGGACGTTCAATGGTCATGGTACTTGTGCGCATGCGCGAAATGCGAACGAGTGTAGACTGGTAATCAGCAACTTCCTGATTGGCTAAGACGAAACGTTTGTGTTTCAGTGAAAAACGTCAGCAATTTAACTGTCATTTTGCAAACTATTTTTTAAAAAAATGTTTCGAAAACAAAATATGAAATTTGGAATAAAATAACAGATAAAACACTGGGAAGAGTTTAAAATATTATCAGAACTGGAGGAATTAGCGGTGAAAAGGAACAACTCGATTATAATCCTTGAAATGGTAGGAGTCTATTTTGTTTATTTCGAGGTTTATTTCGTGTTTGCTGTACGAATACATTTTATGACCTTGGTACAGTATGTCGTTTTGCTCGGTTTTGCGAAGACGTGACCGACTATTTAAGGCTTTACATCATCGTTTTAACTTCCAAAAGAGTCCTTAAAAGTGTAATTCGGAGTTTTAATATAACAAATATCACTTTAAATGTTTATATATAGTCGACTGCAATCACTGCATGAATTTAATAATCGAAAAACAACATTCGACGTTCACTGCTTGGTTATTTATATTATTTGGGCTGTTTTGATGATTTGAAGGTTTAGCTATAATGAAGTATAACTAAACTGTGAAAGTCTATAACTTAATGCAACGGAAAGCAGCAGGAAAACGGGTGATTTCACTTCACCTTTACGACTGTCAACTATGTTTGTTTCCGAAATATTTGAAACATCAGCTATCGGCTTTACATTTAGGACATTTCATAATATTGAAGGTTAAGTCTGGCTAGCTCAGGAAATATTTTGCTTCCTTTGAAATGGCGAGGGGTTGCTGCATGCATGTATTTCTAGTTAATTCGCTATATCACACCTCATGTTTAAATCTGAAGTTTAATTTCAAAATAATAGCAATGTGGACGATACCATTCATATACCCTCCCAAAGAGATAGTAAACTTTGGCCGGGGCCGGGTCAACAGCTAATTCTCGCTGAAATTTCTCGAGATTCTCGGAAAGCGCGATAGTAGGATTATATGCAAGCAGAAGCCGCATAATGCTAAGGGGTGCATGCACATAATAAGCAGCTGAAATTGAAATAAATCGGCCATCCGCGCAAGCCACGCAGTACAACATCAAAACAAAAATTACGAGTAAACACCTGCATTAGGGTGAGAATGTCCTTGATTTCCTTACGCTTTTTGGTCAGATCGGCGTGCAGCGAAAAGAGAGATTAATATTATTGTGCTCAATCTGATCCTCCAAAAGCGAGGCCATGCAAGTTCACAATTTTTTCCGCAGCAGTTGCGTACCTTTAACAAACTGACTGGCTTGTGGGGATTACAAAGTAGCCAAACCCTGGCACCTGGGCGACTAAACGCCAAGGTCAAGGAGAAATCTATGGCATGGTGTAAGCGACAGAAACTGCAAACGACGAAATGCTGTTGTTTGACAGGCGATGGCGTAATCGAGTGATTATTTCTTGGCTTGCTATCGTTCATGGTTTTTCGCTTAAATTTTCTTTTCTTTACACCTCTCCATCATCGAGGAAACTCTAGGAAGCAACCATTTTGCATATGGCTGTCCTCATAGGGGGTAATATGTGCCACGTTCACAATGTCTTCCTTGTTGATGATATCGGATGGACAACATAATGGACAAAATACTTGGAAAAAGACCCAAAACTAGCCGAAAAGTGGCAATACTATATGTATCCTATACAAATAATACTATTAAGTTCATTAAGTTCAAATTTGCCAGGACTAGGTAAAGCCTGTTCACATTACCAAAATCTTGGCCCAGATCAGGTCCAGGCCACCTTTTGCTGTTGGTCAGGTCAAAGCACGTAATGTAAAGGCGCCTTAAGACTAATCGAATAACAAGACTGACCAGACCAATGCACGAAGCTTTTCTTGATTTGCACACACAATGAAGCACGCAATCTACGTCTGATATTTTTACTTTTGAAAATATGGAAAATGGGATAGATAAGTCCGTCAAAAAAAACAAAATGCTAAAAAAAATATTCATTTAAATTTAATTTCTTAGCTAAGTTTCTGGTTTTATTTCAAATCAGTATGTTGATTACTGTTTCTTTGAAATGAGTGCATTTTATTTTGATACATATTTTAGATAATCAATAAATTAAATGAACAGTTTACCACAAAGTGTCATGGTGATTTCAAGCTCCTCCTTAAAGATCTGTAAAACTCTATGCACTCCTTCTTCACCCTTTATAAATATAAAAAAAACTTTTTCATACATTTCCATGGTTTAAGTCAGGTTTTGCAACGAAGTAATGTGGGAGGTTTCGAGAAATGAACAAGAATTCAAAAATATTTCTCCAAATATTTCTTTTCGGCTTTACGTGTCATTTTGTAATAACTTAGAGTGCTTAGGTATATGTAGCTAAATACCTCGGGGCTCAGGCTTTCGAATGAGTTCGGAGAATCTGCAATTAAACTCGTTGGAGGTACAACGACTTTTAAAATATGGCGAATGAAATGCAGAATAAAAACAATGTCCGACGTAGAAGAAAAATATAATTGCAGTAACCAACGTCTTACAGGTACAATGGCTCTTTCAGTTTACATTATTTTTGATGATTTTTGTTTAATTTTACACCGATTGCTGAATGCTATTGAACGTCCAATAATTCTTGTTCGTTCATTTAATTTAAGATTTATACCTGATAAGCAAGACCCCATAGGATCGGCCTCCCGATAAACACAGCTTTTGCCCCTAAAGCCAAGGCTTTGAAAATATCCGAACCAAACCTTATACCACCGTCCAGATACACTTCGACGTCTTGACCGACGGCGAGCACTATTGACGGTAAAACTTCAATCTAAACCGAGATATAAAGTAATTGTGCATTCAAATTGAGTTTGAAATAGTGCAATCCATTTTTAAGACGATCACATATAATATTGAATTTTGCTTTTCCTCACAAATGCTCAATTGCTTTCCTCAATCAGGGTAAAGCGGGATGTTGTTAACTGGCACTCAATCATAAATTACAATAAATTATGACTAAATTTTAAATTACTATAAATTGGGTTATAATAAATTATAGATTACAGTAAATTATTATAAATTACAAAATATAATTTTGACACATCGCGCATACCGTCGCGGGAACACAGTCTAGTTGTCGACCTCCATGATTTGAAACAATGATTCCATCAACACCACATTTTACCGCTAGTTTTGCATCTTCAGCGGTAAGTATTCCTTTTACTACTACTGGTAATGATGTAATCGATCTTACCCAGGGAATGATTGTGTCCCATGTAGCTGATCTATCGTGAATTTTGTCCACAGAGCCACTACCAAACTCTAACATATCCTTCGAATCGAATGCCTCCTTTATGTTAGGTATTGGCGGTAAGCCGGTAAACACGTAGCGAATCTGGGTGTGTCGTTTACCACAGATTGGCATGTCAACCGTCAAAACGATTGCTTTATATCCTGCAGCCTCTGCACGTCTAATAAGGCTCGCCATAATATTTCGATCTCCTAGAATGTCTGTTTGGAACCATTTCAATCCATCAGAGCCTGAGGCAATGTCTTCAAGCCTTGTCAATGACCAGCAACTCAGGGTCATGCATGTGTCATTACGGGAGCTGGCTGCAGTTGAGACAATAATAATATTCATTAGTTTTTTCTGAAACCTATCAGGCTATCAGCTAAATTCCATTTCTCGAAACACAAGAAATAATTATTGCAACACGCAACAATGGAAATCAAAGTATATATGTTTGACGCGAATTATTTTCTAATCAGGTAAAAAGTTATCACTTTTAATACTGACTTAAATACTTCTTAATCTTCGTATAATCACCGATCAACCATTCTGCTCGGCGGAATTCAACTTTAAACATTAACTTTAGGATATGCATCGAAAAATCCCGCCCATAAGCCCGGGTCGGTCCCTAGTTTCCAAGATTTGTGTAAGACGATAAAACCTTAGCCTGCTCGCAGACTGAATTAGGGAGCCGGAAATTAAACGGGGAAAATTCAGTCTGCTGAACTGCGGGTTTTATCGTGTACGGTGACGTAACACTTACACGGATTTAAGTAACTGAACGTGATTGGTTCAAACGTATCAACGATAGATCAAGCGTTTTGATTCGTTTAGTCGCTAAATATTTTGAATAAGTTATTTTTGGAAATATAATAATTTTACACTGTTTGTTATGAAAACATGGTGTCGTCGATGCATAGTTACGATATAGATGTTCACCGTTGGGTGAACAGCCTTGCGGACTGTGTGCTCTACATTTAATTTAAAGGAGTTGTATGCTGAGCAAATAGCTAGGGTTGAATGTGAAATTGGTGTTGGTATTTCCAACAATTCTGGCAGCGCACTGACCAGTTCACGTGTAGTGGCAACGGATTTCGAAGCCTTTGTGAATGTCTGGGATGTGCTGGGCAAATTTGGCGCTGAAATACATGGCCGTTTGCTGCTCGGTTCTTCTTCAAAGACTTGTCGCCTTTTGAGTTGTCCTATTTCGTATGCCTCTTTAAGTTCGTTTACAATGAGGTTATGTTGAGCTTGAGCAAAAAGAGCGGCTCGTTTCCTTAGTTTATCGAGACACTCAGTCGACAAATGTAAAGTGATGTCTCTAAAAGTCTAAAACATCAAAATTAAACTGTCGAAGAGCCTCACTAGCGTTAAATTTTGTCGTCCCGGATACCAAATATCTTTCGTGTGGCTTTTCGATGGTTCGAGAGCACATAATACAATTGCAATTTTAGTATTCGGTGCGCCCGAATAATTATCATATTATTATGCAGTTCATATTACGTCACCGTACACGATAAAGCCCGCAGTTCAGCAGACTGAATTTTCTCCGTTTAATTTCCGGCTCCCTAATTCAGTCTGCGAGCAGGCTAATAAAACCTGGTCTTATACACCTTATTTACCTAGTTTAAACTTTACTATGATAAACTGCAAAGCTTGTTGAACAACCATAAACATTCAAACAAAATCTAACCTCTAGCTGTTGCAAGTTCCCCGTCGGGATGGGCAAGTTTCTGCATGCCAGTCGGTGCTATACAAAATGGGACTTCAATTTTTTCACCAAGAATCGAAGTTGACATGTCAACGGCGGACACATTTCGCAGAACTCGAGGTAAAAGTTTTAACCTGAGAAAAGAAGTTTGCAATCTAGTTATAATTTCGGTTAAGGTTACAAAGCATTGCAAAAACAACAACATTTGAAATGGCCCAGAGGGTTCAATGGACGACTAACGCATCAGACTAATTTCTTATCGAAGCAACAAGAAGGAAATAAATCATCACAGTCAGAATGATCTTACTTAAATTAATGCAAAGTTTACCTGCGATCATTTGTTAAATACGGAAAATATATCAATGCGAAGATGGCATATTTTCTAATGTGTAACTAAATTAATTACACACTTCCGGCCGCAATACAAAAGTATACAAAAATCGTGAACTTTTCATGGCTATATTTTCCGAAATTTACAACAATTTGCAACCAACTTGGCACTTTTACTTAGTTAAGTAAGCTCTTTCTGAAAATGTTCTTTTTATCTCCCAGGTAAGAAATAAGTCTAAAGTCTCCATTGCAACTTATGCAGATCTTGTTCACAGGAATACAATAAAAATGGTTAAGAATTGTCAGCCGTTCTGATTGTGATTGATAGAATTACAGTAGCTTGTTTCTGAACGAATTCAAGTTGTGTGAAAATCAAATAGTTCATCAATTTAAGACAGAAAATTTCTATTTTTTCACTTGTCAGTCGTGTCTACAAGGCCGATGAGAGGAGCTCTAAAGCAAAGCTGAACCCGAGGTACTCACCCATTACCCTGCTCGATTAATGACGCTCAAAATAGCTAGTTTGTACTTTCCAATAGGATTACAGAATCCTCTAGTCGATTTCATAAATTATTCATCATTCATTCGAGTCCACTGAAGGTTCGGGTGCTGAGCACCTCTTTTCATAATAAAATTTCAGGGGATCTTGAAGACGCGCTATGCAAAGTGGTGTGATTCACACTATCCAATCATCGTTGTATGGTTACAAGTGTGAGTTGCCGTTAGAATCTCGGTCCAGCTCTCGTATTTTGTTTACTTAAGGGTGTTGACGCACTAGTCGAGTTGGTCTTTTGCTTAATCGATCATTGTTAAACTCGTTCACAACTTAAAATATTCATCATCAATTTCAAGTACAATTACCAAATTATTACTCTGTGAACCATATCTCAAACCTACAAACTATTTTACTAATAATTTTATTGAATTAAGCTTTTCGTGACGTAAGGCTTCAAGTGCTTAACTGAGCAAAATATAACAAAAAACGATTGACACAAAGTGACATTTGAACCTTGCACGACAGTACTATTGTTTGGGAGGAAATCCCATGGGCTGTCACCTCATGACAGGAAAAGTAATCTTGTGATTCCGAAGGGTCATAATAATATTTAATATTTCACATGTTGCCTAAGTTATTTCCTCATCGATATTGACCTTCTATTTTTTTACAATGCTAAATTACATTATATATGCGCATTTAGTAACACGATACTCCAGCTCTAAAGGCCCGATTCGCAAGCAGAAGGCGCGGGTGTGGTGAAAGGGTCCAGGCAATCATTTTTTCGCCGGTAATTCCTGGGAGAACAAGAACACACCCCACCCCACCCACCCCCCTCCCTAGTGACAGCATTTGGCAGCCACGAAGTGAAGGTCGCTTTTGAGTGTAAATATCAGTAAATTAACTATTTTTAGACAAAAATAATAATATTGCCTCAACAAAGCGTAGGCTGCTGAGATCGTCTCTTACCCCAAAATGGAGAGAAGCTAGTCAAAGACAAGAAAATCAGAAAATTTTCCAGGGAGATCCCTTAATCCCAAACAAAGTCACACATCCTTAAATAAACAATTTCTAGTTACGAACTATTTATGCAAGCCCTCCCCCCTACAAACAATTTCTTAAGGAAGGCCGTGTCTTTTTTAGATTGTTTAGAATATCCAAGCAATGAGCGGTTTGCTAGTTTTTAGCTAAACAAAACGCCTGTTCTGGCGTTAACTCCTGCGTAAGTAAACCGCGTGATACGTTCACTTTGCCTTTGGAATTCGCGCTTATATAGTTATATTAAATCTTCAATCCTGTGCAAACTGCGACGTGTAAATACGCCCATACACGCGACCACATCTTGTTAAACGGTGAAATAGCAGCCATATTATTAAAATAGGACCTTAATATACATGCATTAAATATATTCTTACCCCAATTATTTAAATCTAAACCTAATCGAACAGCATCAAAAGAACGGTTTGCTCCTCTTGGAGGAATTGCCCTAGCATGCGTGCGAAATCAAATTGCGCATCGGAAAATAAGCCGAAGCTGTGCACAACTCTTGGGAAACAAAACTGTGACGTATGATAAATACGGTCACATACACTTTTCACACACTTAATGTGACGACGAAAAATAAAAAAAAAACAATAACAAAACAAAACCTAGGCGAATTTTCAACTCCGTTGCTCACGCCGGAGTAATTACTCTTGCTGACTGTTCTGCCAAACTCAAGCAATACTGTAATTACAATCTTACCGTTTGAAAGCTGCAGTTGATTCCGAGATTGTCTGCTCGTCATTCGCTGCGGAGGCGTAATAATCAAATACTGCCTTTGGTAGAAAATCTTTAGCGAAAATTTCAAAATCGCGAATACAGACAGGCTCGTGTTTCAATTTCAAGCTTTCCATTTTCCGTTAGTCTTTATATCTACAAATTTAATAACGAATTAATGCGTTATCATTTGATTTCTATTCCGTTTGACCAGAAGCTCACTCAATTTTGAAACTCCTCATTCCAGAGAATGATTTTAATGAGGTATTGCAATGCACTACATATACAAAGACGGTGTATAAATGAGCAGCACTGAACATTCATGCCGGATATTCGCTTTCTATTAGTTAACCTGCACCGTAGCACGAGAACGAACGAATAGCCTCATTAACTGAACGACAGAGTCGTACTCAATCGTATGATAGAGGTTTTCAATTGGCTGTGACATAACTCATTTGAATACTCGTTACCTTTCGTATGCATGTTGTTTACATAAATTTGATAGGCATTATTAGAACCTCTTGGGAATTTATGCGTTTATATAATAACGTAAATACACAAGTCAGCTAAAAATTCCCATTATTCCCAGTACTGCAACTGGCACCAGCTTGTGTCAGACGAAAACTTGCACGGTGAACTACACTCAAAGCTATGGACAACGAAATGGAGGTCCTAAATCTCTGTTTTATGCAGCTAAATAATCTCTTCAACGCTTTCTTCTTGATATATTTGCCAATATTTAACGCATCAATGGAAGAATCGACCAATGTCATAGACAGAAACAACGCTTTAAACTCATTACTTGCCACCGTTGGGCAGCTTTTTCGTGCTTTCTACGGCCTACTTGTCTTAACGTCAACATGCGCCCAATCTAATTTACCGAGGGCTCGCGTCGAGCGAATT